TGTTCGGTGTATGTTTGTAATGTTAGCAATAACTTATTATCATCTCTCGGCATTACTTTAAAAAAGGTGATGCACAATAATATAAGGAGAGGAACACAAAACGTAATAAAATAGCTCGGATCTGTGTGCCCCGTATCAGCACGTAAATATTCCGAGTCACGCAATTCTCAATTTGTGTGATTTTCTCACTTCGTTAGCAGTTAATAGTAATAATAATAGTTTATTCAATTTAGACCATGATCGCTAGGAAAAATATGAAATGAAAAGTCAGAACAGTGTTGACTTCTAAGGTAGAAAGTAGAATTTAATTGATCAATCATGGAAATTATTATTACAATGTTACTATCTATTTTATTCAAATAAAAGACACGCAAAGACTAGACAAGTTGATCGTAATTGTAATATAACTAGAACGACTCACGATAGATGAGAAACAAGATGGCGGTGTTATTAACAGGTCACCAGATACACGTACCATCATTGGATTGGTAAGTAAATATGTATTCTACAATTAAAATATCTAAGTTGGTGATAGAGGGCGCTAAACGTGTCGCCATGGACACGAATTTATTCAGAACCCACCTGACTCATAGACAGTATGGTAACCAGAGACAGTATGGTGAAATCAACTAATACGTCAAACTACAGACGACTGGGTTACATCATGTTACTATTAACTATTAATATTTTTTATTAATTGTATAATGGCCTCCCATTACAATCATACAAATTAATTGTTGACAAGAAATAAATTTACATTACAAAATATGTATGAAAATATAGATGAAGAGGGTGTCAATAGATAATATAAGCACTATATAATAATGTGATGGGGATATTTATATATATATACATACAAGCTTATTAAGTTATTTTCATTTGATCTTTGATTAAAAAACACTTATAAATAAATAGAGCTAACGAGGTAATGATTTGGCTTTTAGAGGAACTTAATAGTTGTACTAGAGTATTCAAATTTGGGGTTATGTCTCATTTGGGAGATATTTTTTCCTGATTGTGTCCTATGCAGTGCATTTTAGTAAAAATGATATTCATCATCAATTTCTTGCAGGCACAAATGACAAATACGGCCCTCCCTAGAGATATTATTATGCAATTTTAATTGTGGTAATGACAAAATCCCAAAATTTGTTTTGTATTGCCTATAATACTGCGGTTTTTTCGCCAGAACAAACGTCTATATACCAATCTGTAATTCCAGTATCTTTGACCCGTTCACAAAATTTGTACAAGAACATATCAGAGTCCCCCACCCCTTGATTAAACCAGACATAACCAAATTCATATTTAAATAGCAATTCTTTCATTTCTGTGGCCCATGACCGTTGTCCTTTTTCGTCCAGTGAAACTAGCATCCGGTAAACGTTTTGGGTTAATCTGTTTTCATCCATGCTAGTCATTTTTAACCAATATTTCATATATTTTAACATGGTAACAAAATAAGAGGTAGTCTCCCACAATCCCCTAATACAGTACAAGTTGGAGCATTTTCACCTACACCGAGGTATTGCCTACAATAAGATGTATGTACACTTTCTAAATGTTGATATTGATCATATCCCCAGATTTCAGACCCATATGTAAGTACAGGTTGAATTAAACTGTCAAAAATCTTAAAATACAAGTCTGCTTTAAAACATTGCATATTGCTTAGGTATCTTTTGATGGCAATCAATTTCTTTTTGTCCTTTGTAGCTAAATCTTTTGTGGTAATATTAAAAGAGCATTTACATGACATTACCAACCCCAGGTAATTCGTAAGAACTAACAGTACTAATTTGCTTGTCCTCGAAATACCACTTTTCATATTTACTGAGATATCCCCCATTTCTGTATACTACAATTTTAGTTTTATTTAAGTTGATATTTAGATCCCACTTGTTTGTAAACTCATACAATATACTTATTAGTCTTTTCAAGCGCAGAATAGAATTTGAAAATAAAGCAATGTCGTCAGCATACAATAATGAAAACAACTCTAACATGTCGTTTGGGATCAATTGTATTCCTCTATACTCAGAGTCATCCAACATGCTTTGTAGCTCATTAATGTAAAATGAGAATAAAATAGGGCTGATCATGCACCCTTGTCGAACCCCATTCTTCAATTCAAAGAATCTCGAAGTGACCCCTCCTTCACGAACACATGATTTGACATCTTTATAAATACTTTGTAAAATTACATACA